AGGAGAAATTAAGACTTAAAAAAACAACCAAAAAAGGGAAAAATAGGATGAAAAATCATTACAATGTCAGAAAGCAACAGAAAAGAGGAATACAGAAGAGGGTGGAGATTAAGAGGGTGGAGATTAAACAAGGGGGTAAAAAGACTAGATTGGAAAAGAAAGAAAGGGAAAAAGGGAAGAGAAGTTACAAAGGTTTGAAACAAGATGTAAAGAAACAGGATTCATTCAGAGATAATGGGTAAAAATATAATCTAAAAAGAGATTCTGCAAAAGTACATAAGATTGTACTGTTGTATTTGTATTTGAAATAATGTTAGAAAACTGGAACATTATATGATTATAAAATGGGATAAAATATTAAAAGGAACGTGTAAAATGTTTAAGATTTAATGATAGAGTTTAATTTGTTATGGATTATTGTTTTAACTATATTATAAATTTATTATTCCTTCTTATTTTAAAATATAGTGCGTAGTTTTAGAGTGTACTAAGCAGAATCAGAATGAAAATTATATATTATTTTAAGTGTTATTTAGGGGAAAGATATAAAGGCGTCATACTTCAATCAGTGATTACAGGAGAAATTTTGTGTCAATGAGAAAAGATAATAGATAATTGAAACAGAACAGACAAAAGATATAAGCATAATGATTTAAATTGAGATGAAATAAATAAAATAGAATTAAGAGAGTGAAAAGAGGGGAGAAGCTATATAGAAAATGTAGAATGGTAAATAAGATATGAAATGGTATATAAAGTGAGCATGAATTTATGTCTGCACAAAAAGATGTAACCCGGGACTAAGCCGCTTTCCAAAAAGAAGTTTTATGTTTTTATGTTTTGTGTTTTGTATGTGTATGTTTATTGAAAATTAATAAAATTCTTATCAAAAAAAAAAAGTTAAGGGGTCTGAATACTTTCTGAATGCACTGTAAGTGTCCAGATCGGACATTTATTTGTAACTTTGAACAAATCCTCTAACTTTTACTTGGAAATAAATCCCAGTGAGTTCAGGAAGATACAGTCAAGAAACATGGAAAGAATTATTTGTCACTAAAATGATGCAAGTAACATGCCTTTGAAAAAAGTGACCATAAAACACTACATAATCTTTGACCTACAATTTCAGAAGATATCTGTTATCTATATTATTAACAAGCAGGCCTTAGTGTTTTTTTTAAAATAAATATATTTTTAGATATAATCTTTAAAAAGCAACAAAACAATTTCTTGACTTAGATTATGACAATCTTACTTGCTTTTCTGTCCATGACAAAAGGTTGCCAAAATAAACAAACCTAATTCTTCCAAGCTTACAGCTGTAACGAGGAAAAAAACTCTTTCAGTTACAAACGTGTAAAAAAAAAAAGCATTCACCGGGATAGAATGGAATAGAACAGGGGTGTCAAACTCCCGGCCCATGGGCCGGATGCATCACGCACTGGCCATGCCCACACCCGGTTTAGCGAAGGGGAAAAAGTTCCGATACGTCACATGATGCCATGACAACATGAGTTTGACACCCCTGGAATAGAATAACAGAGTTGGAAGGGACCTTGGAGGTCTTGTAGTCCAACCCCCTGCTTAGGTGGGAAACCACAAGGGTGTCAACTCGATTTTATTGAGGGCCGCCTCAGGGTTGTGTTTGACCTCGGAGGGCCAGGGGTGGTAGCGGGGCGTGGGTGGACATGGCCATGGTGGACACAGGCTCAAGATGCATTTTTTCCCTTTGCATTCAAAACAGCTATTCCAGACAAAGGGAGATTTACTTTCTGGCACAAATAGTCTCAATTCCATAATGTAGAGATTAAAGACATGTAGAGTCCCCAGCTGCTATGGGGCTTGACTATTTTGTATAGGAGCAGAGCATAAATGAACTGACAATTTCTCCAGATGTCTCTAAAAACTGTCTGTCCAACAATCTATCAATCTTTGTTACTACCTCTAACATAGCCCTAGAGGAGGACTTAATTTTAGCAATAATTTACAAAATCAATATACCACCCAATTCTCAATGACCCTGGGTGGCTCACAACAATAAAAAAAAATTACAATTAAATCAATCACATGTAAAAGAGTAAGATAAAAGTTGACAAACTCATTGATATGAGGGGGCACACTCTCTCTCATCAAAGACTTGGGTGAAGAGCCTGATATTTTTGGCTCTTCTGAAGAACAGCCATTCAGATCTTGGAGGATACCTAGTTCTAGTTGGCAGATGCTGCTAAAGACAAGGTGAAGAAGGTGCTGCCTCCTGCAGCACTCTGCTAGCCACAACGGGCCGCAGAAATTGATGTATCTTCTAATGAGGTTCTATTTAGAAAATGATTTGAATGATGATATAGACACCTTGCTGTATTGGGAACTAGTCAGTTTTAACACAACTGTATTTATGTCATTATGCTGCTGCCAAATGATTTAGACACCATCTTGGAGGTGAAAAAAGAACAAATGTTAAATGAATCAAATGTGAAAAATTAGATCAGCTTCAGGAGGCAGTCTCAAGGTTTAGATACAATACTTATCTCATTAGTTCAAGGCTTAGCATCTGGTTCTCCTTATCAGGATTTACAAGCTATGCAGAGCTAAGCCTGGTTAATATTTGGGTGGAAATATTGGGGGGGGGGGGGAATAACCCAATCAGGGAGGGTACCTAGTTCTGGTTGGTAGATGCTGCTAAAGAGAAGGCGAAGGTGCTGCCTCCTGCAGCACTCTGCTGACCAAAATGGGCTACAAGGGCCCCCCTCGCGGCCCATTTTCAGCCAGCAGAGTGCTGCAGGAGGCTGAAAACAGGCTGCGCAGGATCCTCATGAGCCCCCCATGGCCCATTTTCAGCTGGCAGAGTGCTGCAGAAGGCCATGGAGGACAAAAACGGGCTACGTGGGAGCCTCGGGAGCCCCCGTGGCATTTTCGGTCAGCAGTGTGGTGCAGGTGGCCATGGAGGCTGAAAACGGGCCATAAAGGAGCCTCACGAGCCCCCCCCCCCCCCCCCCCGTGGCCCATTTTCAACTGGCAGAATGATGCAGGAGGCAGTGGAGGATGAAAATGGGCTGTTCAGGAGCCTCGCAAGGCCCCTCGCAGCCCATGTTCGGCCAGCAGAGTGCTGCAGGAGGCCAAACATGGGCTGCGGGGGGGGGGGGGGGGGGGAATAGCCTATTTTGGCCGGCAGAGGCACCGCAGGCCGGTCCTTTGATATTTCCAGGCTGACCCCATGGGCCAGATCTAAGCAGCCTGTGGGCCGGATTCGGCTTTGAGTTTGACACCCCTGCTATAGCATTTCAGACAGTTATCCAATCTCTTCTTAAAAACTTCCAGTCTTGGAGCATTTACAACCTCTGGAGGCAAGTTGTTCCACTGATTAACTGTTCTGCCAGGAAATTTCTTCTTAGTTCTAGGTTGCTTCTGTCCTTGATTACTTTCCACCCATTGCTTCTTGTCCTGTCCTCATGTGCCTTGGAGAATAGCTTGACTCCCTCTTCTCTGTGGCAGCCCCTGAGATATTGGAACACTGCTATCATGTCACCCCTAGTCCTTCTTTTCATCAAACTAGACATACCCAATTCCAGCAACTGGGTGAAAATTGCTACTTGTGCTTGTGTGGTACAAATAAAAATCCAAAGCAATCAAGCCACAAAATATAATTTAGGCAGTATATAAAATGAAAGTGACTTCAAATAATAACTACCGTGTTTCTCACAAAATAAGGCCGAGCCTTATTTTTTTTTGACCCCCGAAAAAATGGCTAGGCCATCTTTTCAGGGGTGACTTAATTCCCCCCCCTTGCATCCTCGGGTGGGCGGGCGGCGACAGCTTGGATGTTTGGGAGACCTTCCGCCACCGTTGCTTTCCCTTCTCCCTTGCTGCCGTGGCAGCTAGAGCAACACCGCAGCGTTTGGCGCAGCCACGTGCGGCCAGCCAGGGCTCCTCCCTGCAACCGGAGCCCCCAGGAGACACTTGGCTTCAGGCGCTCCTGTCGCCGCCTTCCCTTTGCCTTCGAAGGTAAAGCGAATTATTTTAAAAACGACACCCTACTACAACAAAGCCTCCCCTGCCCAAGAGGGCAGCCCAACCCCACATGGGGAGGCGAATCCCGCCAGGCCTCCCCGCCAGGCCCTCGGCTCGCTTTCCCATCTCTGCCCAGCCCGCACAGCTCCGGCGCGGCCCTGGCGGGATGAGTGGAGGGTCTGGCGGGGAGGCGCTCGCTGCCTTGGTGAGAGTTCTGCTGCCGGGCAGGAGGGCCCGCCTGTCAGCTGAGCTGGGCGCCCCAGGCGAAGCTCTTCGCGCTCTGCCCTGCGCCAGGCAGGGATGGCGGCTGGGCGCTTCTCCCAAGGTGGGCCGATCCTGCGCTGCAGCCCCGGGAGATTCGCCTCCCCACGTGGGGTTGGGCTGCCCTCTCGGGCAGGGGAGGTTTTGTTGTAGTAGGGTGTCGTTTTTAAAATAATTCGCTTTACCTTCGAAGGCAAAGGGAAGGCGGCGACAGGAGCGCCTGAAGCCAAGTGTCTCCTCGGGGCTCCGGTTGCAGGGAGGAGCCCTGGCTGGCCGCACGTGGCTGCGCCAAACGCTGCGGTGTTGCTCTAACGCCACGGCAGCAAGGGAGAAGGGAAAGCAATGGTGGCGGAAGGTCTCCCGATATGAAGTGCCCCACCAATGCAGGCAGCACCATATCCAGGCATGCAACAAAAGTACTTCCTAACAGCAAGCCCCCCCCCCGCCATTTCGCATGTTTAATATGGGCCTTAATTTGGGGGAGGGGCTTAATTTGATTTTATGCCAATAAAACATGGTGGGGCTTCCTATTGGTGGAGGCAGTATTGTTGGAGAAACACGGTAAATTATTATAAAACTCATTTATAGCAACAGCAACAACTTTCAATAAAACTCTTGCAAATGGTACAATTACTTTTGATATACAATTAACCTGCAATAGTGAGACACAGTTGCTTCTAGTAATTGTTTCCCAGAAGAATAATTGATTTTCTTTTATTGCCTAAATAGCTTACCTGGAAGGAACTTTGACTACAGCCCTGAGCAGCAAAAAATCTTGACTGGATTTCAGTCCCAACCTGTAAAGGGTTCTGAGTATGACTCTGCTAAAAAAACAAAATAAAGGAGATCAGGGAGTTTTAATTAAAATAAAAGAATTCTTATGACAGGCAACTGCAAAAACCAATATAGAGAGAAATAATTTAATGATTCCACAGAAAAACTGATTTAAACTGGAAGAGGAGCTCATTACAAAAGATAAAATACCTTAAACGAGATAGCAGCATGACCCTTAGACAGGATAAAACATAAATACAATTATAACTGCTGTAAAAATCAGAAACATTTTTGTAACTTTTTCTTTCCTTTATTTTTTTTCTTTGCTATTTACTTATCACTTTTCTTTTACCTTAATTTCTCTTTAAATTTGTATTGTTTTTATCTTATAAAAGCTTTAATTAAAAATATTTTTTCACTACCTCCACCATCAAAATTCTTCTTTCATCTGTATATATCAATTTAGAATTTGTTTCCTTGATATATAATGCTATACCTCTTTTCTTTTGTTGTGCTAATGAAGAATATAATTTCCCAATTTTCAGACATTCTAATACTTTGCTGTTTTTTAATGTGCATTTCTTGTAAGCAAATTATATCTAATTTTAATTTTTGTAATCATGTATAGGTTTTTCTCCTTTTTATGGGAGAATTCAATCCATTTATGTTGATTGAGAACACCTCAATTTCCTCTTCCATCTTCCTTACTTATAAATAGGTCTTATTCTCCTAGTTATTTGTCTCTGATCTTTCGCTTTTGCTCCTTCTCGTTCTGCTTTCTCCATTTCACTTTCTTCTTGCTGGATACTCCTCTCCTCTCTTATTGGTTCCTCTCACCTCTCATCTTCCATTCCTCCTTGTGCTTCTTGTCAGTCATTTGTACCAAATTAATTGTCATAAAATTCCACTGCTTTATCGAGTCCAATCTATATCTTTTTCCATCCCAGTTGGACTAGTATTCCCTCTTGTATCAGCCATCTAAAGTCTACATCCCTTTTAATCAGTTTCACTGTCAAAAATTGGTATTGCTTCCATAGCTCTCTTACCCATCTAGGGATGTGTTTCAAGACGACAACTTCTTTCCCTCTGTATTGCAGTGGTTCATCTCTTGCCTTTTAATGTACTTAATCTCCTGGTTTTTTTTTAAAGAAATCTAACATGTACCTCACTTGATAATTTATGTCTCCTCACGTAGCTCGTATTTAGTAAAAATATTTCATCTGTTTCTGTGTCCATTTCTTGTTTTCCAATGTTTAAAGCGCTTGCCAACAACTCTATTAACACTTCTGGGAGGTTTAAATAAAAATATTTAAAAAAATTTTTTTGGGAAAATGTCAGCCAGTTAATTTTTGGATTGGGAGAAAGATCAAACTTTTCTTCATCTGAGCTAAGTAATTTTAAGCACTGTATGCAAGTATGGACAAATTATGAATGTATTGGGCAACTGAGTTGGAAATGAAAAAATAGCAGAAGAAAAAAGAATTTATAACGTTTACGTACATCAATTAGCATTCAAATCCAAATCATATAAAACAGCATATCAAACATAGTTTGTGGCCAAAATAAATTGAGATCCTACATAAAATACGATAGAAAGTTGTATGAATTTAAAAAAAAAAAAAAACAAGTTTTATTTTCAAGACAAACAATACATAGATACACATAAAACAAAACATAAAAGCATAAAAAATCTCTTATCTGAAAGTTGCTTAGTCCCGGGTTAAAACTCTTGGTACAGACACAAATTCAAATTCATATTCATTTTACATACCATTTCATATCTTATTAACATTTTCAGTTTTCTATATGTCTTCTCCTCTTCTTTAAATTTTCTCAATTTTATTTTATTTTATTTATCTCCTCTCAATTCATATCATAATATTTATTATTCTTTGTCTGTTCTATTCCAGCCAGCCCTTTATTTTCCTTCTTTAAAAAAAAGAAAAAACTTCTCCTGTACACTATATGGAGTATGATGCCTTTATCTCTTTCCCCTACATTTATAATACTTAATATAAAACACATGACATATATTGGGATTCTGTCTGGTACATTCTAAAATTATACTATATTATCAAAAATAATACAAATCTATTCATTAGTATTAATATTCATTCATATCTTAAATATTGAACTCATTACTTTTCAATTAAATCACATACTTTTATGGGAGCCCTATTTTCCATAGTTATATATTATATCCCTCATCATATATTATAGCTCATTATTTCATTAAAAAGTACCACCTTCTTCTACTTCAATTCTCATTTCACAAGAAATTTCGCTAGTATACCATATTCTAATCATTAATATTAACAATCATTTATATCTTAAACATTTTATCCATTTCAATTAAATATCATGCCTTTGTGGGAACACTTATGCTTTTCAAAGATTATTACCCCCCCACATCACAATCTTGAATCATGTTTCGTTACAGTACTCCCTTTTCTTAACCAAAAATTTCACTAATTTATGTTAAATATTTTATCACATTTTAGGTTACATATTGTTTCTAATTTTCTATGTTTACTTCTAAATACAAGTATAAAAATGCAGTCTTATGTACCTTTCTAGAATCCCTTTAACCATAAAGCTTATCCATTATCTCTAAAAAAAATTTGCTTCTTAACATCTTGCTCCCCACCATTAGAACTTCTCATCCCTTCCTTTCTTTCTTGTTTCTTCTTCTCCTTGTCCTCTTTAACCCCTTGTCTCTCCACCTCCCTTTTATTCTGCTTTCCCCCTTTCTGTTGTTTCTTAACATAATGTCCCCTTTTCACCTTATTCTTCTCTTTTTGGGCTATTTTTCCAGATCTTAAAGACCTTTTTCCCTTTTTCTCTTGCTTTTTCTCTTCTCCATTCAAAGTCATTTGTTCATCAAAGATGGCTTCTCCTTCTTCTTTGTCCCCATCATCCTCATTCTGCTTCACATAAGTATAAACCGCCATTTCTAAGTATTGAAAAATAGTGTCAAGACCATCTTCCCCTCCTTGTTTTTCTCTTTCAAATTTTTGATATATAAGTTCCAATTCATCCATAGATAATGCCATTGTGTAGAGAAAAAGTTTTTCCAAACCACCCAGATGATTTAATCAAAAGTAATTTCCAAAGGTTCCAAAGTCACCAAACAATCCAAACAGACTATTTCTTTTAGATACCTTCTTCTTCTTCACTTTCTCTTTCTGGGGTTAAAGTAATCACAAATCCTTTTCAAATATATTTTTTGGAAGTTTTTAAACTCTTTGTAATTCTAGGCAATCTTCTCCTTATTTTCAAATTTTGCTCTAATTCTTTTTTTCACTCTCCCTTCCCACTCACAGCCAAAAAGGTTTTTTTTTTTCCGCTGTCACTTTAGGAAGGAGAGTAGAAGAAAAGACTTTCCCCTTTAGAATATTCGCAGCTTAAAACTCTCACAGGGAACAATATATACTTAGCAGCCTTCAAGATTCCAGGTCATTTTCTCCCGTCTTGTCCCGGTTAGAATCAACTTTCACTTTTCTTTCAGCTTCCTCCCTCCTGCACCTGCTTGTCCGGCTGCAGCTTTCTTCGTGGCGGCCATTGCTGACCGCCGTTCCTCCGCCTCGGGAAAAGGGGGTTTAGCCGGCTGGGGAGGGGGTTTGCGACACCCCCAAACCCCTTGCCGGATCCCCCCTGTCTTCAGCTGCCCCTGCGGGGCAGCTATATCCCCCAGATCCAAATGGATCGGGGGAACCTTGGCGGTGAACGCAGCAGGGATCGCGCGGTCGCGAATCCCTGCCGCCGCCGAAAGGTTGCAAACCGGAAGTCTGAAAGTTGTATGAAAATTTTTTATAAGGAGACCAAAAAATATAACAAGTAGCAACAGATACATGAAGTTGCTGTGTGAAATGTGCCTTACATTTCTGAAGTGTAGAATAAGGCTACGATGGGGGAGGATAAAGAGAAAGCTGCAGATGAAGTTAAGGTGTAGTGTCTGAAATTTAAGAAGACAGTTAGTTTAAAGGAGAATCATTCAGAAGTGGTTTGAAAACTGAGTGGTGGCCAATCTGAAATACAGAAGGCCTAGGTTGTCTTCTGCTGAGGAATTTCTGATCAGAAAGAAGAGGTACTGGAAAAAAATACAGCACTCCTACTAGGAAATAAGGGGAGCATACAACAGGAAGGGGCTAGTCTTTGGATAAAACACTGAAAACTGAGGTTCAAAGAATTAAAAGTGGTAGCAAATTAAGACAAATGGTTAAAGAGGGTAGAATACAAGACATGTTGAAGCAAATACAATCAACTGAGTTGAGGCAGAGCTTAGCCACATACACATTTTCTCAGAAGACACCAGGAAGTAAATGAATGGAAGAGATGTGCCTCTTATTAGGCATATCTACACCTATTTATATCACCTTAAACTCTTTGTTGGTAAAATGGAAGAATCTGGGATTTACATGTATGTTTCAAACAGCTGAGGAATGAATTGCAGGTTAATCATGCATTGCTTAAATAGTTTGTTAAGTCCCCATCTTTTCTGAGAGCAAGATAATTATGTTTATGAATTGCTAATATCACCCTCCTGAGTAATACCCTTTGGAGCGTTTTCCATTTTGACAACTTAGGAAAGAAGTATTGTCTTTTGGGTTTACCTGAATTAATTGCAGGTGTAGGCATCAGGGGAGAATTAATTTGAAAAGAGCAGTAAAAGAGAAGCATGTTTCTGTACATAACAGAAAGGAAAACACTGAGAAGTGTTGAGGAGCTGAGGGGTGTGACTGTGAGTCAAGGAATTCCAGACCAGAAAGATTGTTTTGTATTCCAGTTAAATTAGAAATGGTTCTGTGTGAAGGATCTGTGAAAATTTTGGAATATTGCAATAAGGCCAAAGGAAAAAAAAAATAAAGCAGAAAGATTTCATTAAAGGAGAAGAGAAAGAATGGTAAGACATACACTAACTGACTGCTTTGAAAATACCTTTCAAATGTGTTTTCAATTGTAGGACTGGAAATATTTGCTTGACTGTATGCTGTAATGTTCAAAAAGAATAATCTTTATCAGTATAAGCAGAGATGTATTCTTCAAGCTTTAATGCATTTTGCAAAAATCATTGTAGTAAACTGAATACCACTGTAGAACAATTTAAATATTTAATGGAGAGTAAAGATTTTACACAGGCAAGAAAAAATGTATAGAATAGGTGGTGCCTGGCTCAACTGGAAGTAACTGTGAGATGGAAACTTATCAAACAGATCCAACCTAGAAATAAGAAGAAATCTCCTGACAGTGAGAACAATTAATCAGAGAAATGGAATGCCTTCAGAAATTGTGGGTATGCCATCACTGGAGGTTTTTAAGAAGAAATTTGTCCATAATAGTATAGGGTCTCATGCTTGAGCAGGGGTTGGACTAGAAAATCACCAAGGTCTCTTCCAACTCTGCTATTCTTTATAAATATCTCCACTCAGTCTTTCCAAGAGAATGGTGATAAACAATATTTAGAAATGTCCATCAGGTCTTCTGATAGCAAAATCTCATCTTATTGGCTAGTATCAAGGGGAAGATGACTTTGAAAAAGCTTCCTCTCACCATAACATGAAAGACTAAGCTAGGACTGGCTGGGGGGAGAAGCCAGGCAAGGCACCCCTCCATGTGAGTGACATCGAGTTGGCCGTGCCCACCCAGTCACATAACCAAGCCATGCCCAACCAGTCACGTGACCACCAAGACACACCCACAAATTAGGCCACACCCACAGAACCGGTTGTTAAGAAATTTGAATCCCACCCGATTAAAAGGGGGAGCAAATTAAGACAAGTAACTCAATGGGGTGAGGAAAGATGTTAAGGCACAAGGCAACTCACATGGGGTGGGGTTTGGCCACCAATTCACCCAAAATGTTGGAAAGTAAATAAATGGGAGTCCTCGTGCCTCTTACTAGTTATGTCTACAGCTGTCTATTAGTAGGTCAGATGGAAGAATTGGGGATTTTTCTGCATCATCCTATGGCAGGAGACCATCTACCCTTGAGAGTTCATACAAAAAACACGAGAGGGGAAACAGGTGAAAAATTCACACTACACCTGTTAGCACCAGAAGGCAGTCCATAGCCACCTCCGACTGTAAGTACATACGCTTGAGGGTAAGGAAATACCGGGGACCTGAAAAAAAGGAGGAAGCACCTTTTGAACATGGGTGGCCAAGTTCAAACCAATGCGGAGTGGAAACCCCTGGGATACTGGGCTGACAAGCAAGGAGGATAAGGGGCATTAAAGTGGCCGAGGGTGGTGGGAGTGTGGACGTAGCAGGAAAGGGGAGGATTGTGTGTGGCAAAAGTAGGGCGAGGCGACTGAGGCGTGTGTATCTTGGGGGCATTTTGGAAAGGAAGCTGCCTCGGAGTGGGGCTGCCTCGGTAGCAACTGGCAGAGAAAAAGGTGAGGGAGCAGCGCGAGAGGGAGGTGACCGTTGGCTGAGGGGGGGAAGAGAAGCGCGAGGGGCTGGGCACGAGCGTAGAGAACGAGGCGTTGCAAGGCAACGCTGGGCGGAGGGAGGTGACCGTTAGGGTAGCGCGAGGCTGACGGTGGGGGGAACAGCGTGCCGAGTGCGCCCTGCTGGCCCGCGCGCGCAAGGGCCCCCGCCCGCTGGGATTCCCGAGGGGAGGGGCGGAGCAGGGAGGATATGAGTAGGGAGCCTAGAGCTCCAGCTTGCACTGTTGTCCTTCCCTCCTCGCGCTTTCTCCCCCCCCTTTTTTTTTGCGGAGAAGGGAGGGGGAAGGTGGAGGAAAAAAGTGGGGGTTACCTGGAAGATGAAGCTGCTCCAGTTGCTCGGGTCCATGGCGGCGGTAACGAGCAGGGGAGGGGGTTCAGCTCGACGAGAGGGGGGTCGGGAAGGGAGGGGGGAAACGAGTGGGGAGAAGCAGCAACGTGGCGTGGGCGGGGGGGAGTGAGGTGGGAGGGGGATAGAGCGAGGAGGCAGCGGCGCGAGGATTCTTCGGCGCGAACGCTGATTGGCCCCTTCTGCGCGCGCGCACTCCTCCTTCCCGCACCACGGCCTTTCTGAGCGGGAGGGGGAAAAGAGGTGTGGAGAAGGTGGCCGGTAGTGGTTGGGTGTAGTCCTCGCTCGCGACCCCACGTGTGGTGCCTACTGATTGGGCGGACTGGTGTCCGTAGGGCTCATTCTTTTAAAAACTAAAGTTGATTGGCCAATGCCAAGGCGGCCGCCCCCGAGTAACGGTTGCCTTTTTCTCGTCCCCGTTTTTTTTTTTATCTAAGTGACATGGAGCCGTTTTGCAAAATGGCCGCCAGCCTTGATCTTTTCACCTAATGTTACATCTTTGCTGCCAGCCGTCCATATTTATATTCTCCTTTACATCGATTTAATCTTTACTGGTAAAAAGTGCAAGGAGTACCTATTAAGTTTTAATTATATTGACCAGTAAAGAGCTCCATTGCAGAGAATAAGTGAAGTCCCTTATAATGTAAAGTATACATGCACCTTGCGTTCGTGAGATGCTCTAACACAGCGAAGATATTTTTTTTCTTCTAGCAAAACTATTCAGGAAGTATAGTGCCTTCCTTTCTTGTAATTTAGGCAGTATACAAAAGAATAAATAAAAGTATTATCAATGTTTAAAACAATAAATTGGTTTAAAATTCTTTGGGGGGAAAAAGCAAGTCAAGTAAACTAAGAAGTGATCTTGATTCTACCATAGTTACCCTATAAATGCTTGGGTGAAAAGACATATCTTGTGTTGGAAGAAATATCCATCTGGTTCAGTTCCAAGCGGGGAGAAAGACACTGGAAACATGGAGGCTGATTGGAAGGGTGGTTTAATGAAGCAGAACCATCAAGCACATGGACATGGTGCAGCTGACCACATGGAGTTGAGAGAGAGGTATTTATACCCTCTCTTGGTCTTTGAACTTGAGCTTCCTGTTCAAGAATATATATTCTATTGGCTGCTCCCCATGGGGCTATGCAGAGGTCATAGCTGAGGTCTGGCTGAAGTTTGCTGGGTGATGCAGTGTAATGAAGAGGATTGTGTTCTGAAAGGGTGTTGGGCAATTTCTATTGTGTCTTAATGGCTTTCTCCTGGTTTGGATCTTGAGTGAGGGCTAATCCCATCATCCTGAAGCTGAAGGCCTTTTGTCTTGTGGATAGACTGACCCACTCCTGCTGGGGCTATTAAGAAAGGTGGGGGCTGGACTTCCGGTTTGAGCTTCTTTGGCGACGGACCGAAATCCACGATCGTGTGTGGTTTCGATCCGTGCTCGCCGCTGGAGTGCTCCTAGCCGGCTGGTTTCGGGGCTAAGCCACCCCGTAGAGGTGGTGAAGAGGGGGGAGACCACCAGCAGGGCTGAGGAGAGCCGCATCTCTCCTCCCCGGCTGGCCATTACTCCCTTTCCTGAAGGCGGTTGCAGCGCTGGTCAGAAATGGCCACCTCAAAGAAGAACTCGACCAGAAAAGAATGTGCAGGAGGAAGATAAGAAGAGAAAGTTTTGGCTGACCGGGTCAAACTGAACAAGCAACAACATAAGGTACCCTGGAATTTGAACTATAAAGAATAACATTGCTCCCAAAGAAGATTTTGAAGTGGCGAATGAGAGAGGGAAGGGAAAGGATTTGGGTTTTTTTTTCTTTCCTTCCCTATATTGACAACTAAGAGATTTAAGAAAGAAACTGACAAAATCCACTTTGACATTAATAGGCATTTAAGCTGAAAATAAAATGTCAAAAGGATAATAAAGACTTCTGGATTTTCAAAAACTTTTAAAAGAAGGAAAGGAGAGAAAAGGAAAAAAAGGGTGGGATCTGGAAAAATGGAGGAGACCACCTGGAAGTGAAAGGAATTAACAGTGAAACTTTAACAATGATCCTAAAAGATACATTCTAACTGAAACTTTGTAACAAGATAATAAAACCCCAGGAAGAGAAAGTGGAAAAAAGAAGCAAGAAGAAACAGCTTTGGATTATTTGGATTACTTGGTGATTTTTGGATTTTTGGCTATTGGATTTAAAGGACTAAAATCAATCGGGTGGTTGTTTAAAAGTTTTTAAAATGGTATCACTCTTGGAAGAACTGAAAATGGAACTTAAAAAACAGAAAGAAGATGCACAAGAAGGAAGAGGTTTTTTTGGCTTCGTATTTCAATTTTTAGAAATGGAGATCCTGAAGTATGAGAAACAACAAGAAATGCCTGGAGAACAAGAATCGTGGGACAAAGAAGAAGCCGTCTTCAATGACCAAGTAATTCTATGTGGGGGAAAAAAAGGAAAGGGGGGAAAGAGAGTGAAAAATTTAAGATTTGAAAAAACAACCAAAAAAAAGAATAGTTTGAAAAGTAATTACAATATTAGGAAGAAACAGAAGAGAGGATTACAGAAGAGAGAATAAGAATTAGACAGACAAGGGGTCAAAAAGGGGAGGGAGAAGAAGATGGGGAAGAGGGAAAGGAAAAGAAGTTATAAAGGACAGAAACAGGATATAGAGAAACGGAAAACGTACAAGGATTAAGGGTATAAGCCCATTTAGAAGACATAAAGATAATGGGTGAAAATTTAATTGAAAAGGATACTGCAAGGGTACATAAGATAGTATTGTTATATTAGAAATAGAAATGAACTTAGAAAATATGAAACAAGCATGATTAAAATGATAGATAAAATACTCATCGTAATGTAATGGAATGTTTGTTAATAAATAAATGAAACAAAGAGAATGAGAGAATGAAATTAGGAAAGGATGGGAACATTTTAATTATTAATGAGTTATAAAAATTTAAGTGAAGAGGAATATGAAAGAAATATGAAAAAATTATGGAAATATTACAAGTGTTCCTAAGGAAGTATGATATCCTATTGAAAAGAAATCTTTTTTTTTTTTTGAAAACAATTGTATTGATTTTCTACAAACAAGACAAACAAAACATTAAAACATCAACTCTCTTATGTACGTACAGTGTGTCGGTTCATCAGTTTTGTGCATTCATTTCGTAGTCTCAATTACAGTTATATTACATAACAACTCATATTGTCAATCCAAACTTATATATCCTAATATCGCTATTAATAAATCATTTGACTATACTTTTAATCATTCATGCTTTATGAGATAATACTTTAAACAGTTTATTCTATAACAAATCATATAATCATACCAAATCTATCCTAAAAACACTTTATAGATATAATGTCAAATAACATAGTCAAAAGAAAAAATAAAGGTATTCCTTGCTATCTAACTTTCTAAATATTCTATTATTGTATTTTGTCATCTAGCCACTGATAAAAAAGATCCCAAATTTCATAAAATTGTTTATCCTCTTGCCCTCTAATTTCAAATGTCAATCTACTAATCTCAGCACATTCCAATATTTTCTTAATAATTTCTTCCTGTGATGGTATTTTCTCATTCTTCCAGTTTTTAGCAAATACAATCCTAGCCGCTGTTAACACATTTACAATCAGATATTTCAAATCTTTACTATATGTATCTGGTAAGATTCCCAATAAAAAGAACTCCGGTTTCAAATCTATACGTTTCTTTGTCATTTTTTCCAACCACATGCGAATTTTAGTCCAATATTTTTTAGCGTCCTCACAAGTCCACCACATATGGTAATATGAGCCAGGTATCTGATGACATTTCCAGCATTTTTCAGATTTGTTCTTGAACATTCTTGCTATTCTTGTCGGGGGAAATTGCCACCTGTAAAACATCTTATACAAATTTTCCTTATATGCTGTTGACATTGTCATTTTATAATTTTGAGACCACAATTTTTGCCATTTCTCTAAATCAATCCCATATCCAAAATTCTTCCCCCAAACAATCATAGTTTCTTTAACTTGTTCTTCTTCTAATTTAATTCCCAGTAAATAACCATATAATTTTTTAATCACCTTCTCATCAGTACCCATCAAGATCTTATCTAGATCAGTCTGTTTATCATAGAATCCCTCTGTTTTAGAATCTTCATCATACCTTGAATGTATTTGCGCATATGAAAACCAATTCATCTTTATACCTTGTTCCTCTAAATTTTGTATCGATTTAAGTTCACCCTTTTCATCCAATAGTTCCCCATATCTAACTGCTTGTTCCTCCTTATAAATTATAGGATAGGAAAATGCTTCAATAGTCGATAACCAAACTGGAATTTTCAAATAACATTGTCTTTTTATCTTCTCCCAATTTAACCACAAAGACTCCTGTATATAATGTCTTCTAAAATAACCCTGTGTTTTAGTTCCCTTATACCATAAAAAAGCATGCCAACCCAACAGCAAATCATGACCTTCTAATGTCAACAATCTAGTCTTTCTTAATGTTATCCATTCCTTAACCCACATCAAACTTGCAGCTTGATAGTACAATTCCCAATTGGGCAGGCCAAAACCTCCTCTAATTCTAGCATCTTGCAAAAGCTTTAGCTTTATTCTCGCTTTCTTACCTTGCCATATATACTTCAACACAATTTTATTTAAATCATCAAAATAGTCTTCCGAGCCTAATTGGTATTGTTTGAAACAGAAATAGGATTCTGGGTAAAATATTCATCTTGATTGTTGAAATTCTCCCTATTAATGACAATTGCAAGTTTTCCCATTTCTTCAAGTCTGTAGCTATCTGTTGTTTAAGTTTAATATAATTATTCTCTTTTAATGTGCTACATCTTGCTGTCAAATGTATCCCCAGATACTTGACCTTATTCGTAACTTGGATTTTCAACAGGTCTGCCAGTTCTTCTCTTTGTCTCAGTAGCATGTTCTTTGTCAGAATCTTTGTTTTGTCTTTATTTATTTTCAAACCAGCCACCTCACCATATATCTCTATTTTTTCCAATAACTTTGGAGCTGTTTCTAACGGATCTTCCAAAATAAAGGCTAAGTCATCAGCAAAGGCTTGCAGTTTGAATTCTTCCTTTTTAATTTTAATTCCTTTTATGCTTTTATCATCTCTAATATTTCTATTCAACACTTCCAAAGTCAATACAAATAGCAAAGGAGATAGGGGACATCCTTGTCTTGTGCCTTTTCTTATATTGATAAAGTCTGTAAGTTCTCCCTCCATCATTACCTTTGCTGTCTGTTTATTGTATATGGCTTCTATTGCTTGGATAAATTTTCTGGCGAAACCCATCTGTTCCAATAGTAATAACATAAATCTCCAGTTCACGTTGTCAAATGCCTTTTGAGCATCTAGGAATATCAAAGCCATTTGCTTTTCAGGATGTGTCTCATAGTATTCTAAAGTATCCAAGATTACTCTCATATTGTCTCTAATTTGTCTCTTTGGCAAAAATCCATTTTGATCTGGGTGAATGAAATTATTTAAGTATTTTTTAAGTCTTTCTGCTAAAATTGAAGCAAAGATTTTATAGTCTGCATTTAATAAAGAAATAGGTCTATAATTCTTAATTTGCAGTGGGTCAGCCTCTTCTTTTGGAATAAGTGTAATATAAGCCTCTGACCATGTTTTGGGTATCATCTTCTTTGACATAGCTTCATTCATAACTTCTAGCAATGGAATGCTCAATGATTCTTGAAATGTTTTATAGAATTCTGCCGGAAGCCCATCTGGACCTGGTGCTTTCCCATTATTTTGTTTCCTAAGTGCTTCAGTTAATTCCATCATTGTTATGTTGCTTTCTAGCATTTCTTCAGTCTCTTTAGGTATCTTCGGTAGGTTAGCATTCTGTAGATACTGTTTGACTTTTTCCTCGTCAATATTCTCTTGTTTATATAGTTGCCCATAGAAATCTCGAATAATTTCCTTTTTCTCCTTATTACCATAACAAACGTGGCCTTGATCATCTATTAACTTCAATATTTTTCTTGATTCTTTCTCCTTTCTCAACTTATATGCTAGCCATCTACCTGGTTTATTTGCATCTTCAAAATAATTCTGTTTAGCTTTTCTAATTTTCTGTGCCAATTCTTCTTTCTCTATTAATTCCATTTTATGTTTAGTTATATCCAACTTCAATTTAATATCCTTTTTCTGTGGCATTTTCTGTAATTCTTTTTCAAGTCTTTTATACTCATCTTCCAAGGCCTTAGTGGCTTGCCTTTTCCTAATATTCTTTTTTCTTATATAATCTATTATCAAACCTCTAGCATATGCCTTCATTGTATCCCAAACATTCTGCGTTGAAGTATCTTCTTTTTTATTTTCTCTAAAGAAAAAAGCCAATTCTTTCTCCATCCATTGTGTAAAATCTTTTTCCTTTAAGATAGTATTGTTTAATGTCCATCTCGATCTTTTTTTTGTCCCTTCCATTTAATTGTCATTGGGCTATGATCTGCCCAAGTACTTGTTTCAATATTTGTTTCTTGAATATTAGATATTAGTTCTGTTGAGATCCAAATCATATCTATTCTGGATCATGATGAATGTCTATTTGAGTAAAAAGTATATTGTTTGGTTTTAGCATTTTTTTTTCTCCATATATCTTTTAAATTTAATTCATCTATCATTTTAAAAAAGGATTTAGGGAGAGTCTTTCTGTTTTGCTTTGTTGTTGTTGTTGCT